TTTTAGGGGTTATGATAAAAATTAGTATTTTTGTGATTTTATTTAAATTTCTTTTATTTGTGAACAAATTATGGCCCTGAAAATTTTAAATTCTTATACAAAAGGAAACATAGTTTTGTAAAATGTGAGAATAGGAAAAATAACTTTAAATCTCTGATAATCCTTTTCTATTTATTCCGTTTAGTTAAACTAAAATAATTAATTTTCTTCATCTAATCTATGTAAATAGATGCTGCTCTATTTTTTGTTTTAGTTTCGTAATAGAAAACTCTTTGCAAGTATTCGTGTTTGTTTCTTATACTTAAAAAAAAGTTTGAAATATCCTGTGACCTCTTTCGACGCAATCGCGTGAAAAATGGTTTCAAACTTTGCCCGTAACGAATGTTCCACTATGACTACAGTAGATATAGCTATATATATATATATAGAATTTTTCCACTGAAATATAAAATTTCTCCCATTTCACAAACGTAAAATACAAAAGTCAATGAATGAATCCAAGTTTTCAGACAATCTACAATTTTACGATATTTTATTATTTTATTACTCTAATATGCAGTTTTATCCATCTAGATAAAGTAACAGCGCAATTTTTAGTGCATAACACTTTATGTGCTTTTTATATTTTCTCGACAAAAATACACTTAATATATAACATTTTAATTTTTTTTCTCCCAAATTTTCATAAAGAATTCTTGTGTGGAATTTTGCGTTAAATTGTAAATTATCATTAAATATATAGAAGAATTAGAGAACAAATGAAAATAAATTGACATTAAGAATAATAATAAAATTTGCTCCCTACCCCTTTAGAAGATATTATCAAGTTATTGAGTTTCAGAAACTGGGGTTATGTGTCTAATAATGGAAAATTAATTCGCAACATAACTTCTTGCTTGAAACATTAATGGTTGGATTATTATCTTTCTTGTAGCGTATATATATGCTTTAAACCACGATCATAAGTGCTTATATTTCTAGCTAACTTAAATTCTATACCATATATATATATATATATATATTTCCATAAGCGACTAGAAGTGAAATTATTATAAGGCTTTCTAACGCGACAATAATGTATTGATTATTTGGCAAAATTGTGGATTGCTTCAAAATTAATTTCTTTTTTTTAACAAATTATAATGAAAACTTATTAATGATAATAAATATTAAATTTAAAAATAATAAAATAAACTGAATATCAATAGTTAATGCTGGAATGCGATTCTGTAATTTCATTTCGATTTCCACTTTGACTTTAATTTTTACTTTAACCCCTTGACAGTCCAGGGCCCATATGTGGCCAGAAAAAGTCGTGCCACCTTTGTGCAAGTGGCCATATATGGCCATCGCAAAAAAATAATACTAAATTTAATTTGATTCGCCTGAAATTTGTTACTCGGGGGTTTTTGGGGTCGCTGAATCCAAATTTGAAGTCAGATTTCAAAAAAACAAAATGGCGGACCCAAAATGGCGACCATGAAAACTTAAAATTTATCAGATTTACATGAAACTCGTTGCTCAGGAGTTTTCGGAGTCTCTGATTACGAATCTGAGGTCGGTTTTTCAAAATTCAAAATGGCGGATCCAATATGGCGGATAATTTAAAAATTAATGCGTTTTGACCACAAATTGTTACTCGGGGGTTTTCATAGTCGCTGAATTCGAATTTGAGGTCAGTTTTTCAAAATTCAAAATGGCGGATCCAATATGGCGGACAAATTTTTAAAAAATCAATCCGATTTGTCTGAAATTTGTTACTCGGGGGTTTTTGTGGTCGCTGAATTCGAATTTGAGGTCGGTTTTTTGAAATTCAAAATAGCGGATCCAATATGGCGGACAAATTTAAAAAAATTTTTTTTAAAAAATTTGTCCGCCATATTGGATCCGCCATTTTGAATTTTGAAAAACTGACCTCAAATTCGAATTCAGCGACCACAAAAACCCCTGAGTAACAAATTTCAGGCAAATCGGTTTGATTTTTTAAAAATTTGTCCGCCATATTGGATCCGCCATTTTGAATTTTGAAAAACTGACCTGAAATTTGAATTTAGCGACCCCAAAAACCCCCGAGTAACAAATTTCAGGCAAATTGGATTGATTTTTTAAAAATTTGTCCGCCATATTGGATCCACCATTTTGAATTTTGAAAAACTGACCTCAAATTTGAATTTAGCGACCCCAAAAACCTTAAATATGATGAAGTCATATTTTTTTGGAAACTTTTTTTTCGGACCGTTTTAGGCCCACCAGCGATTTTTAACTGGACTGCGAAGGGGTTAATTTCTACTTTTATTTTGATTTAGACTAAAATTACTTTGATTTTCATTTTCATTTACACTTTTAGTTTGATTTCGATAAGTGAAAATAAAAGTGAAAGTTAAAATGAAATTACACAATTATACCCCTGATTATTAATTTAAAAATTTTTTTATTTTCAATTCTGCGATTTATAGTTATAAATTTTATTAGTAGACTCGATATAAATAAGAATAATTTTACATGACGTCACTTTTTTCATTATAGAACTAGAGGACTTTAGTGGCGATTCTCAAATCCCATTATATTTTTTTTTAGTAACGACGATCTTCATATATATATATATGGGGCATTCTACGAAAAATTTTTATTCAAAATTTTTTTTTGCCTGGAACATTTTTTTTCGGAATCTTTATGAAAAATAAGAGAATACGTATTTTTTTCTTTTTTGATTTGATGAAAGTTACGGGAGTTATGAATTTTTTAAAATTAAAGTTTACATGAAGAAGGTATTTTTCAAACGCATTATTTCTTCATTAAAACGAAAAGATGGAAAAAAATGTGCCATATGAAATTTGTTGGAAATTTTTCAAATTTTTTATATATGCAATAACAAATAATATATTTTTAGTGGAAATGCCCAAAAAGTCAAAATTAAAAAAAAATATTGATTTTTCTCAAAGAGAGACACCATTGATTTTCAATTTTTTTTTTTTTTGCAATACAATCTCTCTTTACTCAAGTCAAAAATCTGAAATACTTCTTAGATTCCAAAAAACGCCACTTTCTAATATACGGAAAAAAATTCTTTATTTATTAGAGATTGTATTGCAAAAAAAAAAAAATTGAAAATCCATGGTGTCTCTCTTGGAGAAAAATCAATATTTTTTTTTAATTTTGACTTTTTGGGCATTTCCACTAAAAATATATTATTTTTTTATTGCATATATAAAAAATTTGAAAAATTTCCAACAAATTTCTTATGGCACATTTTTTTCCATCTTTTCGTTTTAATGAAGAAATAATGCGTTTGAAAAGTACCTTCTTCATGTAAACTTTAATTTTAAAAAATTTATAACTCCCGTAACTTTCATCAAAGCAAAAAAGAAAAAAATACGTATTCTCTTATTTTTCATAAAGATTTCGAAAAAAAATGTTCCAGGCAAAAAAAAATTTTGAATAAAAATTTTTCGTAGAATGCCCCATATATTCTACCCTGTTTCAATAGTAAAACAAAACAAAGCTTAAAGTAGGAAGTAGAGAAGGAAGATTGTCGACACAACTGGATGAGCTCCCATTTTGTATTCCACTTTTATGAAAACAACATCGGATAATAATTTTCTAAAATATTAAATATTTTTTAATTTATATCGACTCCATTCTTTAAAATTACTTCATCTGCAGTTTTAATCATAGAAAAATTTGAAATTATTGAACTCAACTTTAGGGTGGAAATTTTGATTAAAAATATAAAATTAATTTCACTATTATAAATTTTAATTATTAGAATTTTTAAAAAATTACATAATTACAATATAAAAATTAATTTTACATTATAAAATAATAAATATAAATTAAACACAGCGAAAATTCTGAAATAATTTTTGTGAAATGAAGAAAAAAATACTTTATGCCCGCATGAAAAAACTAGAAAAAAAAAAAATTGACAACTATTTTATCGATGCATTTTTCAAGTATATATTTTATTACAAAATCCTTTCGTCTATGAAACTTGATGGTTAGTTTAAATAAAATTTTCTTTTTAGTTATTGAAACTAGTAAAAGATTCAAAAGTTCTGACAAGACTTATATTAAAGAAGATTCATGTTATATTACGGATAAAAATTCAGTGGAAGTAATAAGACCTGTGTGAATATCGAATTCCAGTTCAAACGGAATAGAGATGCGAATTTTCCTTCAAAAATATGTTTCTCAAATTCTACACGAAAAGTTATAATAGAAAGTTTAAAATTGGTCTCTGCTTATTGTGTTTGTCCAATTATATATACGATTAGTATCTCTATATATATATATATATATATATATATACATAAAACAATAACAAAGTTTTGTAATTTTATCTTTTTGCATAAAAGATAAATTACAAAAAAGAAAATCTCTTTACATAAGAAAAGAAAAAAATAACAAAATTCAAAAAAAATTTCTATATATTTACAGATTAGGAAAACAGTAAATTAAAAACAACGTTTGGTGATTCCAGCTACGACTATAATATTATCATAAAAAGTATAATAATTGAAGGTATCGAAATTAAATTGAATTAATTGCTTAAGAACATTTAACTTTCTGTCAGTTGTAGTATTAGTAAAGAAAAATGCTTTTATAGAAAATGTTTACTAATTTTTAAACTCATTGAAATAATTAAAAAAAAAACACCGAAGACCTCAAAAAATAAAATTTTCATCTCTGTTAATTTTATTAAAATCATTGTAAATTAAAACCTCATTTTCATAATTAACTAACATAATTAACTACCAGAAGTTTTAATATCATTTTCAAATAAAATTTTCAAAATCTATTTTCTACGATATCCTTTTATAATTCACTCAATCGAAATAATTCTGTTTTTATTCATTTTTACGATACCGATTTGTAACCAACATATATATCATGTTAAACAATGAATCACCTTCTGGTTTTTGAACCAGAAGAAAGGCATTTTTAGGTTCCATTAAAAATATACTTTTTTTTACGACTTGCTATTAAATTTTATGTTACAGGAACACATAAGAGAATCACGTGAGAATCGTCTGGATGAAATTGGTCGTCAAGCAACGCCTTGTCCTGTTTCTGCAACTAGAACAGAAATCGGTGACATTGAAAGCGAATCACCTAGCATTGATGGTGTAACAACTAAAGAACTTTTGACACCTTCAACAATAATTGCTCACGAATATACAAAAGAATTGGTAATGGAAATGCACTACGATGCTAAAAATAGAAACGATATTAATGAAATTAATGACTACAATGACATACATCAGAGTAATAATGTCAGTAATGCCACGCAGGAACGTCTACAAGAATCCAGTGAGGAACCAGAAACAAGAGATAACGCATGTCAAACAAGAGAAAGTCTCTTTGAATATCGAACACCCGATACCTACATTAAACCATCGTTTACAACTTTTGGATTTCGTCCACCAACCTCACAAAATGGTAGTACACATCAACACAATTATCATCAGTCGAGTCCAATTAAAAGTATTTCCAGTAAACAAAGTTCACTGCGATCCCAATCCCACAAGTGTTGTAGTCCCTCATCGCAAGGAAGAGAAGAAACTATTACTACCTCATGTCCTAGACATTCAGTTGTTCCCGCCCCACCAGGTTGGTCACACTATGATCCTCCATATCCACCAGTTGTCACCGATCCACTTGATTTCACTTATCAAAGATATCCAAGTCCAAAATCAAGTAGAGATCCATCACAAAGTCAATCTCCCAAAAGGCATCATATAGCAGGCTCTGGTGAGAGATATGGATCAATATTAGGCTCAACGCATGGATCCATCACTAATTCAGGACATGGTTCTAGTAATACAAATAGTTCGAATAATTCAGGTACACCAAAGAAAATCGGTGAGTCACGTTATAAGGCTGAAGCAGTTATTGAAGTTGACCAGAAGAGGCCTTTTAGTATAGAGAGTACAAAAAGTGCACCCGACGTAATTGCAACTCACTGACGACAAGATGCTGGGGATTGGGAGCCGTACAAAAGACGCAATCCCCGTCAAATATCCACTGAAAGTTTAATTAAACAAAGAACAATTAGTGTTGCAACACAAAGTTCATTGGATGAAGATATTACAACAACAACAACAGCGTCAACCATTGAAATATCCTCTTCCTGATCCACATCAATTGACCGCCCAGAAATTGTCCAAGAGGTGGTCAATAAGGACCCCTTAATTTTACGACCTGAAAGACTTTTACAACTTGTTGAGGAACAATTGCCAATTTTAGAGCCACCTAAAGAATTTCGTATTCCTAATTTTGATTGTAAGCTACCGTTTACTTTTTGCTGTCATCATTGTACTTGTTCTAAACACACGGAGCGTGATAATAAAAAACCAATGATGCCTTCTGGTAAGACTTCTAAAAATGATTTCTATGGAACATGGCCTAATCGAAATGCAAGAGGAATTAGAAAAATCACTTTTGGAAGACAAAAGTCCGTTGGAGGTTTAGAAGGTGTACGTGTTAAAAGAATTAAATCTCCTGTCTTTAGAAAAACATTAGAAAATGAGGTTGGAGCTTCTATACCTTTTTAATTTATCGGATCTCTACAAATTAGGTGTTTTTGAACAAATATCAACTGCACACAATAGCATTTACAGTTGTGTGTGTGTGAATATTATTTCCAAAAATGTTTTTAAAATTTCGGTTTATCGAAAAGTATTTAGAGATTTTTTTTTAACAAAAATACTTTTCTACACACGAAATTTTATCATCAACTGTATTAGATTCGTGTTGCTCAAAAATTATTTCTAAAAAAGAAAAGGAGAATTTTTAAATTTCTGAAAGCTTGTTTTCTTAAATTGAGAAACAGTTTGCAGAATTTAATAAAAAAAAAAAAACATAACTAATGCAAAGAATAAATAAATAAAAAAAAAACAGGGTCCCTTAAGTTCTTTGCTCATGGACCATTTGGATGAAGACAATCGCTGCCTTCTATAGATTATTACTTATTAAAAAAATAGGCCAAGTCCATAAAATTTTTTTTCAAATTCATAGAATTAAAAACCGTTTACATTGGCCTAATTTTACTTAATTTTGCAAGCAATTTATTAATTATAACAAAATATTTAATGATATAAGGTAAATTGTACAGTTGTTGGTCACTTTATGAATACCATTAAAAAATTTTTAACTAAACGCAAAATTTGCTAAGTGCATAATATACTTTTTCATTTTTTTTTTTTTTGAAATTTCCCTGGCGGATCTCGAAATCGGAATGTACGCTGAATTCGTTGTACATTCGTTACACATTGGTTAAACATTTAGTTGGAGTGAAAATTGTGTAGAAACTGAGTGGAAACTGTGGAAATGTGTAATTGAATTGAATAATAAAAGTATTTAGTGATAGTCGGCAATTTTCACTCCAACTAAAAGTTTAACCAATGTGTAACGAATGTACAACGAATTCAGCGTACATTCCGATTTCGAGATCGAGGCTTGTTGACATATAATAAAATTAAAATGTGTGTTGATAATTAATTTTGTTATATATTTGATTCAATTGCATTTATAGATTCTCTGAATTCGTGATAAAATATAAATTTTGAGGTTAGGGGTGTTTGTTTACTAACTTGAAATCTTTTACTGCTGCGGTAATTCCCACTTAAAATATATATTTTATATCTTTTTAATAACATGCATACTGGATATTGTTTAATAATGTTGTTAAAATAATGTAAAATGTGATTAGTAAACAAACACCCCTAACCTCAAAATTTATATTTTATCACGAATTCAGAGAATCTATAAATGCAATTGAATCAAATATATAACAAAATTAATTATCAACACACATTTTAATTTTATTAGATGTCAACAAGCGTTTTCCATGTTCAAAGTATGAATAAAATTGATGAAAGTGGAAACAAATTTTCTTCCCCATAATAATAACATTATGTCGTCTGCTTGTTGTCCCTCCAGGCCTCTGACGTCATTTCTTGAACTCGAAATATCTCGATGAACTGACACAGCCTAATAACAGAATTTCAAAGTTTAAAATGTCGGATAGATTTGTAAAAATCGTTTGAAACTCGTTTTTCACATATTCTCAGAGACGCTGATTACGAATTTGAAATAAGATTTTTCAAAATTAAAAATGGAGGATCTAATGTGAAGTTAGAATTCGATATTTTGAATTTTGAAAAATTGATATCCGATTCATTATCAATGATCCATAAAACCTCTGATTATAACAAGTTTCAAATGAATCCAAGCGATTTTTACAAATTCGTCAGCCATAATACATCCGCCATTTTGATTTTTTTTAAATCTAGAAACACTTGACGGTTAAATTAGTTGACTATAAAAATGTATGTTTCAAAGGGTAAAATCATGAATGTTTAAAAATAAAAATTCATCTCTTAAATAGAAATTCGTATTAAATAAAAATTCGTTTAGATAAAAAATGCGTTAAAGGGACTTGCAAAAAGTTAGCAACGTCATTTTGTTTCAAAAAAAATAATTTTTGTGCTAATTTTGTGTCAATTTGTCATAATTTTATTCTAATTTATGCTGTAAAAATTTAAAAAAAAAATATAACTAGAACTCGAATTTAAAAAAAAAAAAATTTTCAAAATTTTTAATAATAAATTATTTAAAATAATTCAAATTTAAATTTGAAAAACAATTTTTTAATCCAGAAACGTTTAAAGATTATTATTTTTAAAAAATAATACAGATATGTAATGAAATGATATTGTATTTAAAAAAGGACAATACCCTGTGAGAGTTCGAATTAATTAATTTATAATTTTTTTTTTTTCATTTTTTGTGTTAATTAAATATTCTATTACAAAATGAATATTTAGTAAGATAGAAAAACTGCTTTAAAAAAATATCGGTTAAGTAGAATTTCTGTTAAATAAAACTTTACTACTTTAAACAAAATTTTAATTAACCCCTCCGCAGAGTCTAGTAGAAAAATTGTTTGTGGGCCCAAAACGGTCAAAAAAAAAAAATTTCCAAAAAAATATATCATCGTATTCAAAGTTTTTGGTGTCGCTGAATCCAAATTTAAGGTCAGATTTAAAAAATTCAAAATGGTGGACCCAATATGGCGGAAAAATTTAAAATTCATTCGACTCGTTTAAAATTTGGTACTTGGAGAATTTTCGGGTCGCTGAATCCAAATTTTCAAAATTTTCGCTGATTCAGCGACCCCAAAAAACTCCGAAAACCTAATTTTGAACGAATCGATTTAATTTTAAATTTTTCCTCCATATTGGTTCCGCCGTTTTTAATTTTTTTAATTTGACCTCAAATTTGGATTCAGCGATCCCGAAAATTCCCGAGTACCAAATTTGGAACAAATCGAATCAATTTTAAAATTTTCTACCATATTGGGTCGCCATATTAGGTCCGCCATTTTGAATTTTTTAAATCTGACCTCAAATTTGGATTCAGCGACCCCAAAAACCCCCGAGTATCGAATTTTGAACGAATCGAATCAATTTTAAAATTTTCCGCCATATTAGGTCCGACATTTTGAATTTTTTAAATCTAACTTCAAATTTGGATTTAGCGACTCCGAAAACCTTAGTATATCTATTGACACTCAAATCGAAAAAAAATAATCTGAAGTGGCCGACAACTGTACCCTAGTTTTTTTTATTTTAAAATTAACATAATCAAATATTATTTTGTATAACATTAAAATAATGTTACCATTTCAAGAATATTGAAAAATTTTTAATTAAAAACCTCTTTAAAGTCTAATCATCTTTTTTTATAGAAATTGGATTTTAAAATCATAAAATGTATTCAGGCACCATTTTAGAAAGAAGTTTATTAAATTATTAAAATAATCATTTCAAAGGTGGCCTACGATACTGTTTTATTAAAGTGTTCATTAGATAATCATTATATAAAAATAGACTTTGTATTACACATTGAATTCAAATTTTTTAAATAAATTTCATTGTAAAAATGTAAAATTGATGAAGAGTTTTAAAATATTTTGTAGATTTGTAATAAAAAAAAATATATAGTAATGTTTTTATGAAATTTGTTTTAGTCAAAAAAAAAAAAAGAAATCTAGGCAAACATTTAGATATTATAAAGTAACCTACAATTTTGTTATAAACAGAAAGGAATTTTTTTTTTTGTTAATGAATTGAAAAAATAATTTATTAATGACAATATAAGATATTTTATTTCAGTGTGTATAAATATATACATATCTGACAGGAAACAATATATAAATAATAATAATTGTACATTGTTTTTACATAAATGTTAAAGCAGGTTAAAAATAATATGTTTTTAAATTATCAAAAGTCATCATAGAAATATTATATTAATAAAAAAACATATTTACACGCTTTTATAAATTATGATCTTTATTATTACGTCACCGGTCGATATATTGTAAACATATTTATTTTTGTGTTTATATTTTTTTAAATATAATTTAAGGGTATGTGGGAAAAGGACGTTTTTTTGTGGTTTGAAACTTTCTCGGAAATAAAAAATGATTTCGGGTTAAAATTTAGGAGAAATGATTTAGTTTGGTACAAGGAATCTCGCTGTTCTACTCATTTACCACAACTTAACGCAAAAATAATAAAAATAAAGCAATAAATAGTAAAATAATGTGTTTTATCATATAGTTCATTCAGCGGCCACTCGCTCGAACTGGCGCTGTTTACTGGAGCACTGACACACTCAAGCAACGTCTGTGTATGCGCCGCCATGTTTCTTTTCATTTTCGTTTAAAAATGCCACTTTTTAAACTTCATTTTTTAATAATTTAACTCAAAATTATGTATTTTTCGGAGAACAGTGAGATTCCTTGTACCCTAATCTATCCTCCCTTAAAAGTTTTAGACAAAAATCTTTTCTCATTTTAGAGTGAAATGTATACTACCAAAACACATTTTCCCATACAATGTCACGTGGGAAGTTTCCACATACCTTTAAAAAAATTTAATTTAAGAAATTTTAATTAAAAAAAAAAATATTAATAATAAAAATAATTATTAAAAAAATATTTAAAGAACGTAATCAAAATTCATATTATATATTAAGTTAAGCTTTATTTGTTATATATATTTAATAATAATTGAAAAAAGTGTAAAAAATTTAAAACAATTTTTCAATATATTTCATTTGTTTAAAAATTAATAATATTTTGACCGATGATGTCTTAAGGCCAGGTGCAAGTGAGGCAGCGCCATCTACATTGATACTAAAATTTTGGAAAATTTTCAGCAGCCTTTTCTTGAAAACAAGATGGTAAAATGCTTTTTCCTTTATGCATAATTGATTATTGGCAAGATATATACCAGCTAAAACTTTTTTTGAGTTAAAATAATGAAAAAAATTTCATGTCGATAAATTAAATATGAGCACTTTTTTCACAAAAATTGTAACAGTACTTTCTCAGAAATTACAATCAAAAATGCAATTTCCATTTGGAAAATTAATGAACACTAAAAAATACACCACCTAAGATTTACCAATCACGAAAATAGCAAAAAAAAAAAATTTTATTAAATATTTAACATATTGATACTGCTTTACTGATTGTGACAGCCCTTTGGTAGATTATGTATTTCAGGTGGT